CTGTGTTCTTGGACTGTTGAACCCAAGGAACGTGGACACTTGTCTCTGTGCAGTGGGGACCTGCCCCTGTGTCTCACGTAGCTGGGTGCTGCAGGGCTGGGGTCAGGCCGTGGGGGGTCAGCGTGGGGGTCCCTACCACAGACTGGGAGGGAGCTGCAGCTGAGAACTGGGGGGAATGCCATGAAGGGGAGTTCTAGTGTTACTTCCAAACCCTTCTCATTTCTTGGATGTTTCTTCTCTACAGGGAGACTTTGTTGTAAGCAGTGATACCCTCACCCGTGGGGCTGGAGGAGTCTGCTGGCTCTGCTTCATCCCCTGGGCACTGGCAGCTCTTCCCCTGGCACGGGTGTGCACTGTGCAGGGTGCCCTGCAGGGGCTGGAGCTGCAGGACACCTTTTGGCCTCTAAGCAAACCTCCTTACCCCTTCCCCTTCTCCCTGTTCTCTAAGCTGCTGGTGTCCCAGGCAAGGGGTGTTTGCCACAGGCTCAGCTGCTGCAGGAGCACAGTTCCTGGCCCGAGCACACTCTCCATGGCTGAAGGACTGGGGTGTTTCCCTCCTGTGTCTGTGGCTCTGCTGCTCCTGTCCCTTGAACAGGCCTGTTGCCAAACCTGTGGTGTTTCTTCCCTCCTGTTCACGTCCCATCCTGGTGTGTGGGTGAAGGTGGCTCTGGCAGTGGCTGCTCTGCCCAGCAGGCTGCCCAGCTCCCTGCCCGGGCACAATCAGCGCCAGGGTAGAAACAAGCCAGGCAGCTGGTACAGCCTGAGCTCATCTCCCTGCAGGAGAAGGAGCGGCAGAGGCTGGAAAGCCTCAGGAAGAAGCAGGAGGCTGAGGAACAGAGGAGGAAGAAAGTGGAGGAGGAAAAGCAGCGACGACAGGCAGAAATGAAGCAGTGAGTTGTGTCCCTGACCTCCTGCTCGCCCTGGCTCAGCACAGCATGGCTCTGGAGGCCATCCCTGTGCCCAGCCTTGTGCCTCCCGTGGGAGGGACCGTCCTGCCCGGGCTCTGCCTGGGCCCCCCAGCCCCGGGGCTCCTGGGTCACTGTGCTGGTGCAAAGCGCCCGCGGGGTCTGGGCTTGGGCCGGAGCTGAGCTCAGCCCAGGCAAGTCAAGCCAAATAACTGGCTTTCCCCCCATTTCCTTGCAAGCCCCCGTCCATCTCCCCCAGCAGAGCTAAGCAGCCCCTCTGCCCCTGCCCAGGAGGAGGGAGGAGCGGCTGCGCAAGGCGCTGCAGGCGCGGGACCGGGTGGAGCAGAGGGAGGAGCAGCAGAAGAAGCGGATGGAGCAGAAGATGCTGCAGAGCCATGAGAAGGTGAGAAGCTGACCAAGCTGTGGGCCACTTGGTACAGTGGCATTGCCTCAGTGAGCTGTGGGAGCAGGAGGCTGCAGGCAGGGCCCTGGCGTGACACGTGTGGGCACAGGGCTGGCGGTGACTCGGGGTGGGCACCCCTGAATCAGAGACACGGGCACTGCCCCACCAGGAGGCTTCTGCCCCTCTGCGCTGCTTCTGGCCTGCTCTGACATGCAGTGCTCGTGCTGCCCCGTGCTCCGGGCGTGTGGCAGCTCCCCTGGCAGCCTGGGGCAGCCTGCAAGTGCTGCACAGCGAGGCCGCAGGGCTGCCCGGGGCTGGGAAGCCGAGGTGGGGAAGTGTCCCTGGCTCCCAAGTGTGGCAGAGATACTTGTGACTGGCAGGCTTGGCTGGGCCTGTGTTGGTGTCGTGTTGGGTTTGTAGAGCCCTGCCTGGCCCTCTGCTGAGGGAGCTGGGAGGTGAGGGGGGCTGTGGTCCTGGGGGGGCTGTGGTCCTGGGGGCTGTGCCTGCTGCCCCTGCCCAGCAGCCCTGGGTGGGTCCTGGTTTCAGGGACTAAAGTGACCTCTGGAAGGGGTCGGCCTTGGAGGGCAAGGGAGCCCTGCTCCTCCCAGCCCGGAGCAGCAGGAGCGTGGGGGTCCCGGGAGGAGCGTGTCCCTGCGCCCTCAGGTTCCTCTCCCACAGGCGCGGGAGGAGAGAGGGGCCGAGGAGCGGGGCAAGAGCTCCTGGATAAAGTGGTTTGTGTTGAAAAGGAGCTTAAAGAGTGACAATTTTTTTCTCTGTCTTAGGAGAAGGAAAGGCCAAAAGAGCTGCACCAGAGGCCTGGGCAGGAGGAGAGAGCCAAGCATCCAGAAGCCTTTGCCATGGCTGCTAATCCCTGGCTCAGGGCAGTGAGGGTGAGTGTGGGCTCTGGAGACCTGGTGTGGATCTCAGCAGAGATGGGAGTCAGTTTCCCTTGGAGTCTTGGGTTTGGGCTTTTTCTGCAGAAGAAGACACACAGGGACTAAGGATTTATTTGCAAGGGTCTCAGGAGATAGAGCTCAGTTCCAGGTGGTTGTTCCTGGGTGAACACAGATGAAGTCTGACTTAATTCCTGTGTCTCAGCAGGAGGAAGGGGTTCTGCAGGAGCCCCGGGAGCTGCTGGGGGAGGAGAAAAAAACCAAGCAGCCAGAAGCTGCTGG